TGGGGCAGAGTCCACTTCCCAGGCAGTGGCCCTGGCTGAGGGTTTCCTCCTGAGCCAGACAGAGGAGGAGAAGAATCAGGAAGCAGAGCAGGTGAGAGACTGTTTCACTGCCTTTCACACCGATAATTCCAGGGGGCGGTAAATGTGTGGGTTGCCAAAAAATATCCCCACCAGCTGCCCAGGTAGAATTTCCAAATCACTTCAGCCAGGGTGAGGTCCTGATGAATTTTGTGGAGGGAGGGAGGGCCTACTGCAGAGACATCCAAAGGTATGATCCTGGCCTCGTAACAGTGATTAGAATTTTTAGCTACTCAAACCGCTCTTTCTCTATGCCTTCTGCTTTCAGATGAAGACTATGTCAGGCAAGGCAGCCACTGGATTTCCTGAGACAGAGGAAGCTGAAAAGAAGGAAGTGTCATTGAAGGGTGACAGAAGAGCCACTGCCCTGGGTAAAGACCAGCAAGGTCTCTCTTCAGGACAGAGGAAGCTGAACAGAAGGAAGTGTCTTTGAAGGGTGACAGAAGAGCCACTGCCCTGGGTAAACACCAGCGAGGTCTCTCTTCAAGCTGGCCACTTTTTTAAAACTTGGGTTCAACCCCCCCTGAAATTCCTGGCCTCCTGAAAGGAGGGACTGGAGGCTCTGTTCTGAGAGCAACAGCTTTTCCTGTACATTTTGCTAGTTTCAATCACTTAAGACTTCTACAGGAATCCCAGCCAATGTTTTGGAGTATACTGGGGAGTTTGACAATATGGAGATGATAGTGTAGGCTTACATCCCAAAATCGCAGAGTTGTAGATTCAGGACCGTCGTGCAAGTCATTTGGCTGTTGAGCCACATATAGGGTGGCCCAAGGCTGGTTTTTTTTCCGTGATGGTTCCTCCTCCCCTCATTCCTTCCCCAGAGCATTGGCATCAGGTGCATGACTTTTCGCTTCTTAAAAGTTCTTGGTTGGTAGCACCTGTGGTGGGGATCTTCGTCTTCATCTCTCCCAGGAGACAACCCTGCAAAGTTCTCATCCCTACATTAGATCTAGCCCTGTTTCTCTGGGAAAAGTATGGAAAATCCTTCTGCCCGCTTCAGTGTGATTATTATGTGCGCAACTGATTGTTTCATTTCTGTAACCTCTGTCTGTTATTATATGATTTATTTAAATCATAAGTATCCCTGCTGATGGGTGTTTTGATCCAGAGACAGATTTGCCAAGCGCTATGTATCTGTGGACCCAGAGTTTAGGATTTTGATTCCCCACTTGGTGTGCCAGACAACGATCCCGCCTGTGTAGCCTTGGGCAAGCTGCAGAGTCCCAGGATGCGGCCAGAAGAAGTGACGGTGAAATCACTTCTGTGTCTATTTTATACTCGGAGAGAGAGCACTGGAAGATTTGATAGCATGTAATCATTGCTATCAGTCCTAAAGTATCTCCCTCATTTCCTTGGCTTCCCTCACAGGTGATGAAAGGAGCCCAAGTCCTTCTTCAAGTCCTTCCCCTGATGGAAGCGAAATGACCACCCTAAAGCCAGATCCGGTAGGAAAAGATAACCATTGAGTCATAGAATAATGGAGTTGGACCATTTGAGTCCAACCCCCTTGACCTTGAGAGACCTCCAAGAGGGTGGGAAGGGTCTCTTGGTCTCCTGGGTCTGAAATCATTATAAGGCTCTTGGCTTGTTCAGATCGAGGCTCATGTCGTCCGAAATCCTGCTTCCCTCAGAGTCGAAACAAATGTCTTTGGGGAGCTCTTATCCAAGACATGACGAAATTCACTCTTTTCTCTTTTCAGCAACATTGTATCCCAATGTGCATTGCCTGCGATCGTACAAATGCCATTTGGAACATCATTCCTTGTCACCGTTCGTTGTCTTAGTGTATACGATGAGGGCTTTTAGTCCCCTTTCAGTCTGTCCATCTCAGAGATGCAGCACGAAAGGAAAAGCGATCAGGAGGGAGGAGGAAATAAGCAACTTTTCCACTGGTTCTCTCAGATGACATTGTTCTTTTCTCAGAACTAGAAATAATTCCTGAACTGGGAAGAAATGAGGATGTCCTCACTTCCTCTGTTGCTGCTTCAGGGAATAAGGTGTTCTGGGAAGACAACACAGGGTTATGATGGAGCTTGAAGGATCAGGCTGGTCTATAGGAATATCCCTTCTTCTTCTTCTTCTTCTTCTTCTTCTTCTTCTTCTTCTTCTTCTTCTTCTTCTTCTTCTTCCTCCCATCCTGAGGTTAGAGAAAATAATTTTGATTTTGCTTGTCCTCCGTCTCCCATCCTTCAGCATCATTGAATGAGTTCTGAGTTCAGGTATGAGGTAGAGAGCAATAAAAATCTCACCCTCTCCATCTCATGCCCATGACATTTTCTCAACGAAACTGTTTATCTTGTGAGGAGGGGAGGGATGAAATACAACTGGGTTCAACAGGACTGTTAAAGAACAGGAAATTGTTCCATAGAATATTTATTTACTTATTTATATCCCACCTCTGTGGTCAAACAACCACTCTAGGAAGCTACCCACATAAATAACCATATATATATCTGAGTCATTAGTACCCACAGTTTCACTTAATGTGGCGCTATCCCAAATTTCTCTCTATCGGTCGGTTTTCGCATAGGTGTACTCCGCACCACGCATTATGGTCCTACGACAAGGATGTCTGGCCCAGTCCTCCTCGTACGAGTTTACTCCAGTGGGGATAGGATCCGGACGCACCACCTTCCTCCAAGGAGCCTTGCCTCAGGGGTAAACACATACTGTCCATTCTAATGGATCATGCACTTCTGTTCCTGGAGGAACCGGTCCTAAAATAGACTTCCCAGCTCTTTCAGAACCTCCCTCCATATTCTGGGGTATTCCAAAAACATAAGGTTTAGATTCATTTCTTATATCCGGCTTAAACTCAGTCTTACACTCCTCTCCCCCTCCTTCCCCTTCACGCCTCCTTTTCTCCTCCTCTTCCACTGCTGCCAAGCTTGCCAAGGACCCCCAATGCCTTCCTCTTATTGGTTTTTCCTCCCACTCTTCTGTTACCAAGAGCCCGTCCATGATTGATTGTCTTATTTCCCCCTCTTTTCTCTCTTCTCCTGTTGTTTGAACCGGCTCCAAAGTCATATTAATAATTCCTGTATGTCATGTGCTTGCTTCTCTGTTGATCTCTTCCGTCTGAACAGGAGGAGGGGACGGCTCGCTTTCTTGTTTAATTTCTTTAAACGGTTCTTCTTCACAGGAGGGCTTTCTTAAGCTGGCTACATTTTAGTTCTCAGGGCAGAAACTGATTCTCTGAATCTCTTGATTCGATGTGGCTCGTGTCTGCCACTATGCCACCAAGGGAAGAAAAAAAACCTGCCTGACTGAGTGTCGCACCCCAATAACCCAGGGGGAGAAAGAAGAAACCCACTCACCAGACAGTCACCCCACCCCTCAAACACCCCCCAAAGCCTCATAAATTCTAAATATGCCTGATGGGAAACCAAACTACTACAATGCCATCTGCCTCCATGCCACCCACGTCTGTGCCTGGTTGAAAACTACGCCAGCTGCCTCTCTCACTTTCATGGGGGGACCCAATATGTGGGTACATAACTTGGACCTCCGAAACCCAAACTCCACAAAACCTGGAGGGCCTATATAGAAGAGTCGGGGGAGAAAAATCCCTTCAGTGTGGTTGTCTCTTCATGCATGGGGAGGCACTTTATAGTGTTTTAAAGGAAAGATGAATCCATAAATCGATACATCGGGAGAAACATCGTAAATTTGTGATTCGTCAAGCCTGATTAATTATGAACTGCGACAAATCACAATTTTTTCGATTTGTGCCCATTGCTACTTAATAACACTGTTTTACAGAGCTCTTCCCCTATTTTTTCAGTTTATTCAGGAAGGCTTTCATGGCCGGGATCTAATGGTTGTTGTGGGTTTTTCGGGTTCTTTGGCCATGTTCTGAAGGTTGAGACTGGCGAAACGTGAGGAAGAACAACCTTCAGAACACGGCCAAAGAGCCTGAAAAACCCACAACAACCAAACGATTTTCAGCTTCTTTTTTAATGCTCCTGCATGTGGAATTTCCTGTGACTGCCGTTGAGGGAGCTTGAGATTCTGCAGTGGAGCCCATCGTCCCCTTGACTATGTTGGACTTCTGCTAACTTACCTGTGAACAGTAACTGATTC